TCCTGCCCCGAGGAGCAGGACAGAAGGGGCTCTGTTGGGTCTGACCTGGGCCATCAATCCTGCTCCGTGTTGGGATCCCCCAGATGGAGCCCAATTCAATCCCTTGGTTTCTTGGACTGTAAAACCACTCCAGGTGTCATTGGAATGTGCAGAGATCTCACTTCTCTTAAACAAACTATTATATCCCTACCACTAGGGTATACATATATATATATATAAAACCAAAAAACCCCAACAATATGCTTCTAACCCTAGGATGTACAAACAACACTAAACCCAACACTCTGCTTCTAACACTAGGACACAAAACCAACGCTATGTTTCATTTCTAACAGGGTGACGGGCGTGAGGAGCCCCCTCCCTCAGCCTGCCTGCAGAGCTGCTCCAGCCCCAGGATCCTGTGCCTGGCCCTTCTCTGGACCTGACCCAACAGCTCCATGTCCTGGTGTTGGGGGGGCTGCTTTGTTTTAACCAGCTCCGTGCCCCTTCCCCTACCCTTTGTGCCGCCCCTCGCCGCCCTGCCGGCTGTGCTGGCACCTCCAGCTTTCTGCCACCTCTGAGGTGAGGCCCGGGCTGGAGCAACACCCCGCGGCTCAGTCCTTGCTTGCCAGGCTGAGCCAGGCTGGCCAGCCCTGCTGCAGTGGGGGCTGGAGAAGAGAAGGCTCCAGGGAGACCTTAGAGCACCTTCCAGGGCCTGAAGGGGCTCCAGGAAAGCTGGGGAGGGGCTTGGGACAAGGGCAGGGAGGGAGAGGACAAGGGGGAATGGATGAAAACTGGAGGAGGGAGATTGAGGTGAGACATGAGGAGGGAATTGTGGAGTGTGAGGGTGGTGAGAGCCTGGCCCAGGTTGCCCAGGGAAGCTGTGGCTGCCCCATCCCTGGCAGTGTTGAAGGGCAGGTTGGATGGGGCTTGGAGCAGCCTGGGCTGGTGGGAGGGGTCCCTGCCCATGCAGGGGGTGGGACTGGATGGTCTTGAAGGTCCCTCCCAACCCAAACCATTCTGTGATTCTATGATTCATCCCTGGAGCCCATCCCTGCACCTGTGCCACTTGTCTCCCCTCTGGACTTGCCTCACACACACCAGTGCAGGTCACATCTTGCCAGACCCTTCGGTAGAAGAAAGGGAAACATTTTGCTTTCTGAAGGTTAAATATCTTTGCTATTTTCATATCCTGTGCCTGATGCTTTCTGGTTATCTTGTCAGGTTCGAATACACTCTGTCTGGTTTCCATCTGACAAGGATTTCTGAGATTTCTCTTAATTTATTTCTATATAAATGCAGGACCTTGCACTCCACAGTCTTCAGTCTCATCCTGGTTGTGTAATCTTTATTTTCCTTCTGTATGTTTTTCTTCTGATTTTGTGTCAAAAGTGTCTTCCAGCCTCCAAAAGTGTCTTTCATTGTGACAAAACCATTAATATTAAATAAAAACTTATCCCAAGGGAGTTCACTGTAGGTTTTCTTCCAGCCTCTATTTAACCTCCATTTTGCATCAGATACACATGAATGTCAGCATAACACCATATCAAGTGTTTAACCATGTCTGAATGTGTATGATCTGATGTAAAAAGCACTGACCTTAAACATATCAAGTAAATCTAGCAGGATTTTTCCTTGGAAAGCCAGCATTAGGCTTCATCTCATTTTCGGTGGAGCTTTGTGTTTTTCATGTTTTTTTAGAGCTTGTTTTAGAATATTGCATACTGCTGGTGAGAACAGCATGAACATTTGGATTAGGTCTAAATGCAGAAGACGATGCTGGGGCATTTTGCCTTTTCATCAGGCAAATTGCAAAGGCTTGAATTTTGACTGCAGGGGATAATAGCTCTGGAACAGAAGTTTGGTATAAATGTTAATTATCTGATTTTTAAAATAACAGTTTGTGCAATTTGCTTAGTGTGGGCTGCTGCATTTAAGGGTTTTAGAAAATAATGAAAAATAAGGTTTTCAGTCTCTGATTTCATGTTCTGCCACTAGAAGGAGACAGACAAATAAAATTATGCTTAGAGAGTTTGTTCAGTGTTTCTGATAGAGGTTTTTAATGAGCTTCTTTTAAAGCTGTGTGCAAATATTGATAACTTTAGCTAGCTGATCGTACACTATATGAGTACATGTGGTGTAAAGCTTGTCTTTTAATAGTTTTTAGTTACTGGATCCTATTTATTAAATTATTATATTTGGCAATTACATTCCTGCAACAGGTCTTCTTGTCTTCAGATTAAATTTTTGTGATTTTAAGTAAGTCCTGCCTGAATAAAGTAGCATACATTGATTGACAGAACGGACAGTGCTTCTGTGACGTTACATTAACACCATCATTCTCCTTTTACAGATGGTGGGAGGTCCAGTGGCTTAATTAAAACTGCAGAAAGCCCTTACAAGAACATAAACCTGTGCCAAGGCAGCCTGTGTGAATCATGGACTGGCATGAGCTGCCAGTGAAAGCTTTGACAGCTTTTATACCAGCCTGAGTGTCCTGTGGTGTGCAGGGTCATCTCGGTGTCCTTATCATCATGAGGCAGTTGGACTATGGGAAATTCTTGGTGCATTAATGCCAAATGTATTTTAAAACAGACAGGGTGAACTTGTCTGGGGCACTGGTGGTTTGCCTTCGACTGTTGGATCCTGGCAAGGGTATTTGAGCAACTTATCACCTAAAGGAGTCTCCTCCGAGTCTGCCAGGGAGATTGAGCTGCTTGATGAGATAAATATGGAAAGATGTATTTTGAGGATCCAGGTTTTGGGTTTCTGAGCCCTCAGCTAACAATCCTATCAGTGCTTGGACAGAGTTACCTGTGTGTGCTGCCAGAGGCCAGTACCCAGGTGGCACTCAGGTGGGTTTGAGTCTGTCATGGCCAAATGGTACATTAAAATAAATAATAATAGTGTTTGAGACCTGCGTGTGTAATACGTGTATAATAATAGCAGTGGG